ACACATTAAACACACACTAAACACATTATACACGCAAACACATTAAACACACACTAAACACATTAAACACACATTAAACATGGCTTAATAGAGACAGTGTCGAACACAAATCAGCTTCACTATAGGGCTGTCAATGAGTATTCTAAATTCGAATATAAATTCGAATTTGAAAAAAAAATGGACCTTCGAATGTGAAAACTGATATTCGATTGTGGAGGGAAAAAAAACACCACCGCAGCTGTCCTCTTTGCAAGTGGGCGTTGGCCTGGGCTGCTGCACTGAACGCACTGCATAAGGCCACACTGCCCACGGAGGTGCTGCGAAGCGCAGCGCACCGAAATTCTCGCACGAGCCGGAGCACTTCCGTTCACATCAGACGTGCATTTCTCCACGCTGGTCGACAAGCGGTTCTGCTCCCAGCTGTTGTCTCCGTTACCCGGCTTGACACATTCGCTCACGGCTCACGCAGAAAATAGACCAGAGCCGGCCACGGAGCTGCGCGGCGCGGCCGGTGTGGATGACACAATCGATTAACATGGGTGCTGAAAGGAAACTGGCTTCGCTTTGAGGCTATTCGCAGCGCTTCTGCGGGCGGTGTGGCCTGACGGGTCAGAGAGGGGGGGCGAGCAAGAGGTCCGCGGTCGTTTCTAACGTAATGTTATAGATAATTGTTTTATGTGTTTTAATGTGTAGGTATGTAAATGTTTTCAAAGACGTTTATGTGGAAATAAAAATACCTACAAGTAGTTATGTTTCCTTGTATTAGTTTGCCCTCTTGTGGACATAATGCGAAAAAAAAAAATTTGAATGGTTTGAACCTATGAGTAATTTTTAGAAGGAATATTCGAACGTCATTTTTGAGCAATTTTGACAGCCCTACTTCACTATAACTCTCAGCATTCACAAACACTTTATCTGGACACATTTTCCCCACAAATACAACATGCTAACGTTATCAGCACAAGCCTATGGCATTTTACATTGTATAAATTAGCCTAGCAGCTAGCAAATTTATATGAAGCCAGGGACAACAGCAACATTTAACAAAGGTAACGTTACTAAATTCAGCTCCATTACAGCTCACAAGGTTCACTGACAAAACAACTGTCTAATACTAAACACGTTTTCCAAACAAATACAACATGCTAACGTTATTAGCGCAAGCCTATGGCATTTTACATTGTATAAATTAGCCTAGCAGCTAGCAGAGATTTGCTCTGCTCATATTTCAGCCAGGATAAATCACACACAGTGTGTGGAGGCTTTATTGTCTTCACAATTTATTGTTTCTTATCTGTGAAATTAAAGTAAATCAAAGCTTTGTTTCCACTGAGGGAAATGGTTTCAGCTTACAGAGACAGACAGGAGGTCTGCGTCACTGTGATGTGTAGCTACATTTCTGGGGAGGTGCACGTCAGGCTGCGTAGGGTATGTCAACGCAGAGCCTACGGCGGAGTTGATTTGACACAGAAGCATAAATTTGCCTTAGAAAAAAAGACGCTCCTGATAACTGCAGAAACTGCCTGAGAATTCTACGTGGCTTTATTAACATTTTCATGTGACTGACATCACAATGGTAATATTCCCAGAAAGTGCACTGAATGTAAAAATGTGTTTCATGTCTGTGTGTTTTACAGTTATGACTCCAAGAAGGAGCACGACTTTTGACTAAAGTTGAGCATTTCTTATGCAGTGATTTTATTACCAAACACAGGTTATTAAATGGAGATCAGAGCTCCATACAGTCGAGATCTTCAGGCTGTAACTTAAAAAAACAAAAGAGTAAATTTCAGCCAGCTTCCTTTCTTCCTTCCTGACTCGTGTCTTTTGTCCTTCAGGTGGAGCTCCAGCCGTCAGAAAGGAAGTCATCAGAAATAAGATCCGGGCGATCGGAAAGATGGCTCGTGTCTTCTCGGTGCTCAGGTGTGTTTTTATCTCTCTATTTATTTCTGGTAGAATTTTACATAAGTATAAATGTTTTAAATAAAATATGTGAAGAGCCTGTCACCATCACCGTCACTTGAACCTTATTGTGAGGAGATTTTTGCCTTTTTTGTGAACTTCCTGTGTGTATTATTATGCTGATTATGGATTCAGTTGTGATGCTTCTTTCCTGGACATAAAAAAAGATTTATTACTTTTATGGGGCCGTCTTATTCAAATAAAAACCTTCCTATAAATAAAGTAAGTGGACAGAAAACGATGTGTCTTAGGCAGCCGACTGGGAGTTTCTCCACAGATCTTTTCTCCCGTCTTGCTCCACTTAAGTAAAACGCTAATGACTTTTTTCTCGATTCACACGTGTCCTCTTTAAATCCTGTGGAAGTGTGTCAGAATAATTTGTCCTTTCAGTGATGAACATCTTGTTCAGAAGTTATTTTAAGGCTCAGAAAAGCATCACAGGCACGTTCTCTGAAGCTGTTCTTCCACTTCTGGTCATCATTAGTGAACTGATCATTAATATCACAGTGTGTAGAGACCATGCTCATCTCATAAACACGGTGATTTTTAAATGATTTTAATTTAAATCAGGGGTGTCAAAGTCATTTCAGTTCAGGGGCCACATATGGGCCGGACCTGTGAAACCATCAACCATCGCATAATAACTAGAGACACACACACACACACACACGAATATACAGATGCTTTATTTTCAGGATGATTGCAGTGTGAAATGTCCTGAACTCAAAAATTTCAGTTACTGTCAATTACGGATTTTGGAATTATGGAGCAACTTTTTATTTCATTTTTTTGCACAGCTAAACAGTTGACAAGTACAAAAAAGTACCCTTGACGTAAAATGGAAGCTCTCAATTGAAGTACAGGTACCTCGAAATTCTTAAGTACAGTGGTTGAGTAAATGTCCTGAGTTACTGGTCACATTAGTAGTTAAAATTTATGTTTAAATGTATGTATAGAAATATGAATATTCCTCTCTCTGAGCATATGAGGACATTTTGTTCTTGGTGAGGCGATTTTATTCATATGTACTTAATGTGGAAGTGAAACATGTGACAAAGGAGCATAATAAATACAAAAAGCCGCCCACACACATGAAAACAGCAGTGAACCCACATGCAGCTGCAGATATAAACCACACACACACACACACACACACATATTTAGTAACTTATCATGAAGGCTGAGAAAATAAAAATGTTCTCAGTTTGTTCTTGTAAATGTGGACACAGTGACAGATCTCAGGTCAACAGGACTAATGAAGCTCAAAGCACTGTTGTCAGATCTGGATCTGTAAATGCTGGACTAAGTGTTTCATTTCATCTAAGAGACACTGTTACTTTCACGACAGATATGATTTGTTAAACACACCATAATGTCAGTACCCTGCAGCCATTAACACTGTGATGTTAGAGACTATGTTTTAGTGAAATCCATGCACGTTTCAAGACGGTGTAGCAGACACAGCAACTCTTTAGCATGGTAGCAAATACTTTGTTTCCACTGTCAGCATAAAATGTTGCAACATTTTGTGGGCGTTCCCATAAATACATACTGTATCTACTTCATGTTTCCTTATAAAATTGGGGAAACAGCAGCAAGTTTAAAAAGCAGAGGTTTAAGGATTGATGCCTGTGGAACATCAAATAAAATACAGCTTATAAACTTCAGATGGAAAGAAAAGCAGTTGTCTAAAGACTGATCTTTATGGAAAATACGGCTTATAAACTGTAGATGAAAAAAAGCAGCAGTCTAAGGACTGATGCTTGTGGACCACCAGATGAAGTATGGCTTATAAACTTGACATGGAAAAACAGCAGTTTTATAAGGACTGATCTTTATGGAAAATATGGCTTATAAACTTCAGATGGAAAAAAGCAGCGGTGTATAAATTGAACCTTTTGGAACACCAAATAAAATACGTCTCATTAACTTTAGATGGAAAACAGTAGTTGACTAAGGATTGATCCTTGGTGAACACCATTAAAATCTATCTTATACACTTCAGATGGAGAAAAAAATGTTTTTTTTTTCCATCTGCAGTTTATAAGGCCGAAGTTTATAGGCTGTATTTATTCAGGTTTTTCACAAAGATCAACTATAAACTTCAGATTAAAAATATGGCTTATAAACTTTACATGACAACTCTACAACTCTAAATATTGCTTATCATCAATATTTAGTTTATAAGCCATATTTTATGTGGTGTTCAACAAGGATCAGCTGCTCAACCTTGGACAACTGCTATTTTCAGCTGGAGTTTATAAGCCGGATGAAAATAGCAGAGGTCTAAGGACTGATCCTTGTGGAACTCCAGATAAAATTTGGCTCATAAATGTCAGATGAAAAAAAGCAGTGGTCTAATAATTGATCTTTGTGGAACATCAGATAAAATATGGCTTAGAAACTTTAGATGGAAAAACAGCAGTGGTCTAAGAATTGATCCTTGTGGAACACCAGATAAAATATAGTTTAAAATATTCAGATGAAACATAGAAGCTCCTGTCTTTTAAAAGTAGATTGTTTATCAATTAAAATGTCACGATCAGCTTCGTCAGTGTCTAAATGAAAAGCTCTTTTTGAATCATTGATCACGCTGATGGGATGTATTTGTGTTTTGACAGAGAGGAGAATGAGAGCGTGTTACAGCTGAAGGGGCTGACCCCGACAGGAACGCTGCCTGTGGGAGTTTTGTCTGGTGGTCGGCGAACCCTGCAAAGCGGTGAGTGCGAATGCAGCTGAGCATCCCACCTAACACTAACACAAGAGTCCAGCAGCTAACACTAACTCCCTGTGCCTGCACTCACACTGAGAGACTAACCCTCATCAACACTCGAACATACACACAGTGAGATGGAAATGTCAAGTGGGATCCTCTCCTCCTCTAAAGGGCTGTTGTGTTCAAACATTGACCACAACAAGAGTTCATGCAAATAAAACGTGTCCCTGTTCAGTTCATCTAATTATGTTCATACTTACACCAGGAGACGGAATTAATTTACAGTGTATATTTTGAATGTTTTGTTGAAAGTTGCTTAGTTGAAAATTACATCATGTAAAGTGAATACACTTTTCAATTTGTGCTTACAAAAATGAATTCAAAAGGAAAAATACACACAGATACATGCAAATGTTAATTTAGAAAAAAGGTAGATTATATACACATATGCGCACATATGAGTGCGCTCTGCCACTCTGAGAGTGCGCTGCTCTGGATAACCCAACGCTACATTCAGACAGCGCTCCCAATTTATCAACGCTCCAGTTTGTGTCAGAGTGCGCTCCCACACTCACAATGAGTGTTTCTGAACGCACCACTCACATCATCTTCCTCCATCGTCTAAAACAAGACAACACAACTTGCTAGCTAGCGCTAGCTAATGTCTGTGGAGAGTTGTTTTGCCTCCAGCTAAGCCCCGCCCTCAAAATAAAAAAAACATCACACTGTTTACTAACAGTTGAAGAGTCTATATCTAAATCTTCAGCTCATTTTTAAACACATCTGTAGTTATAAAAGTTTTCAGGGCAGCATGGTGTCAACACTTCACCACATTTTGTTCCTCTAACAAACCCTGATGATGATGATGATGATGATGATGATGATGATTATTATTATTATTATTATTATTATTATTATTGTTATTATTATTGTTGTTGTTGTTTGTGTTATTGTTATTATGGTATGTAGGTAGTGATGGGGGAGGGGTTGTGTGGTGACATGTTAACAGGACTGACTGATTGCAGTGATAATAATAACGTGACTGACTGAATGCATTGATATATAATGTTCCCACTCTCTCTCCATTGGTTTTGGGCATGGCACTTCTACTCACGCTTACACAGCCACCGTAGAGGCAGAAGAGGCACGAGGTATGCAACCATCTCTGTATCTGTCTGTCTACCTGTCTGTTTGTCTACCTGTCTGTCCCTCTCTCAGCTTTGTGTTGTGTCTTTAACTGTCTGATGGTTTCTAATGCTTCAACATGTTTGTCTCTGATTACTGACGTCGTGACAGTTAAAGGTCCAGTTTACTCTGAGTCCTGTTCTGACGCAGGGTAAACGGGGACAGTTGGCTTTAAGTGTCCCCGTGTTGAGAGCTTATTTCCACCACCTCTGTCACACTTTGATTTTGGGGACGTCTTGAATTCACACATTTATGCGTTTAGTGATCGAGCTAATAAAGCGTGTGCAACAGCCACCTGTAAACATTTAATAAACGCTTTTATAACACACTGTAATGTAGCTGTAAGCAGATATAAGTGATGTTCAGTTTATTAGGTACATCTAGCTGAAGCTAACACAGTCTAATCATCAGTGAATATCCTCCGTCATTAAAGGTTATAATGTTTGTTTGAGAGACGTCAGCAGGACGTCGTCTGTGGAAATTGTCTGTGTTATACTGACAGGTGTTTCTGTTATTTTGTCCACCCCGGTTACATTAACGAGGGCAGACTAAATAACAGAGACGCCTCTGTAAACAGTGGAAAGGCCCTTTAATGAAAGTCTGTTTCTTTGTCTTCATGCTGTCCTCGTCCTGTTGTTGAAGTAAGTTTTCTCTGCTGGTCCAACCAGTGCTCCCAGTATTCAGTACACGTCATGTACCAGTGGTGACTGTGTGCAGCAGGGTCGCAGGTTAAAGAGGAAATTACACCCATGGGTGAATTCACAAATGATTGCAGCCGATGAACCTGCACACATACACACATATTTAAATACATGAGGTCCAAATTATATGGAGGACGAAAAATGACACAGTTATCCATTTTAAAAATGTAGAAATAAATCCATAAATAAAAAAGTGAATGCAAAAGGTCAGGACCTCATAACTTATCAATATAGAGACACAGATAGTATTGTTTTATTTATTTATTTATATCCTGTTTATTAACTTTATTTATTTAAACATTTATGTATTAATTAAAAAAAATCATTTATTTATTATTTAATTTATTTATTTCCATGTTTCTGTATTTATTATGATATATTAACTAATTAATTTATTAATTTATTTATTCCCATTTATTTATTAATGTATTTATTTTTACATATTTCACATTCATTTTTTAAATTTTGGTATTTATTCATATATTCCAGCTCTATTTATTTATTTCAATATTTACATTACAAAATTATACATACAATAGATTTATTCCTGTATTGATTTATTTATACGTTTATTTACTTATTTCCATATTTTTTTTTACATATTAGGCATTTATTTATTTATTTCTGCATTTATTTATACTTTATTTAATTTCTTTCAGCATTCATTTATTTTTATTATGTATTTTTTCTGTATTTATTTGTTTATATTTCACAATTATTTTTTAATTTCCATAATTATTTATATATATTCTGCATTCATTTGTTAATTTTTGTATAAATATAGTAGAATAAATAGTAATGGAGACATCAGTTTATTTATTCACTTATTCCTGTACTTATTTAATTATTTCCATATTTATATATAAACATTAATTAACTATTTATTTTGTATTTATTCATATATTCCACATTCATTTGTTTATCTCTGTATTTCTTAATGCAGTAAATTATTTATTCATACATTATTTAAAAATGTATTTACACAGTGATTAATCTATTTATTCATTCCCATATTTATATATACATTTATTTACATATTTATTGGTGCTGTCCTCTGTGTTCTTGGTGCAAAGTCAACATTATGTTTTACCACATGGATAATTATAATGTTTAAAACTTTATGTTTGCGTGTCATGAGCATAGTCCGTCAGCGGCTGCAATCGGTTCTTTGTGAATTAACCCGTGCGGCGTGTTAGTGACCCTGCTGTGTTTCAGACGTTTGTGGCTCCGCTCTCATACGTGTCTGTTTCCTCGCAGCCATTCAAGGCTTCAACCCGCAGCACAAGATCCAGAGCTTCGAGGAGGCTCGAGGTCTGGACCGCATCAACGAGAGGATGCCCCCCCGCCGCGACAGCAAGCAGCAGGAGGCCGCCCCCTCCCTCAACAACCTGCCGGCCAGCACCGGACCTCCGGACAAGAACGGCACCAACGCACAGGCCTAAATCCTCCCCATCCTTTACTCCCCTTTATCTCTCCTTCTTCTTCCTCCTCCCTTCTTCCTCCTCTCCTTGCTTCCTTCCCTTCCCCCCTTCTCTCCTTTAAGAGCAGGAGAAGAGGCAGTTCAGTCCGAGCGACTCTCGCCACGCTTAATTTATTTTATCATCTATTAAATATCATAGTTTAAGACTGAACAGGATGAAATCTCAAACCGTACGTGGACTCTGCTGAAGGCAATCATCATCACCGCCCAGTCCAGTCGACGCAAATCCATTTTATATAATAAGAATAATGATAACGATCAGGAGGCTGTCGCTTTATTCAGGACGACACCTTCCTTTCTATCAGCGTTTTATTTTGGCGAGGGAGGAAGTCATTCAACGCTGTGTTCGTGCCCACACACACACACACACACACACACACACACCAGAAGCGACAGAATCAGATAAATCCATCCTTTCTTATGCCAATGATAGTGTGACTAAGCTCTGAGGAGCGAGTATTGACATTTATATTATATATGTATATTTTAATTGTTCCCTCTTTTCAATGTGATGTTTTTTTTTTGTTTTTTACAACACATAGATTTAGGCTTAATTATCCAGAGTGGGGGGGGGAGTGGGCGCAGAAACACAGAGGGAGAATTAAAGGGTTATTCCGCTTTATTGCAACTCGGGTCTTAAAGTTTGAAGTTCGTTATTAAAAGGAAACTTCTGAATTTTCAACCTGGATCCTTTCGCCCATGTTCTTGTGTCTACGTGTCTGATTGTTTTTGAAGCTGTTCCAGAGCTGAGCGAGACAAACAGGCTGCAGTGTAACCACTCTGTTCACACCGTCAGTGTCCGTCCACTAACAGTGTTTGTTTTTGTCACTGACAGGCTCAGACTGTTATTCTAAGTGAAAGGAACCCTACAGAAATAGAGCTTTGTGTTAAAGAGTCAGATCCTTTTTGTTTAACCAGAAACAGCCCTGAAATCACCATCACCAAACCCACCAGACTCCATTTAAATACACAGTCATGTTAGTGTGTATAGAGGCAGCATGTTGTCACATCTAACTGGTGAATTAAGGGTTAATTTCAACCAAACCAGAGCTGGTGATTGTTGAACCAAGATGGTTTCTGGGAGTTTTATTTTGTTTCTATTGACTTTGAATGAAGTGAGTTTTATCTCTGTAGGGATCCTTTCCAAAACTTAGAATAACAGTCTGAGCCTGTCAGTGACAAAAACACTGTTAGTGGACGTATGTTTCAGCGCTGCTGCAGCGCTCTCTCTCAATACTGAACCAGCTTAAAAAATGATCACTCCCATTCGTCATTTAGACACAAAACATGAGAGGAATGGAGCCCAAGTTAAAACACCAAAGTTACCCTTCAGGGTTGGAAACGGTCGTTTGATGACAGAATCTTAACTGAAGTTCCACTCGGTGTCTTTTTCTGCAGAGTCGACTCTGTGAGCGGACTCCCTTTAACGAGATGTGGTTAAAAGCTCCAGAAAAAGTTAGTGACTGGACGGAGAGTTCAGATTTTCATGTCAAACATCATCAGTCCTGAAAACAAGTTACTCAGTGAAGACAAAAGAAAAAGATGTCATTAGAACGAAATCTGATGGGTTGGAAACAAACGTCCAGGTCAGACAAACGCTCTGTCGACTCGCTGCATCAGCGGTGACTCTGTCTGAATACACAGTTTGCTGCATAACGTGTGAGCCATGTGGATAAAGATCAAACATTCGACATAAGAAAACACAATTTAAACAAAAACATAAATTAAAATAAATAAATGTGCTAAAACCATGAAGAAGAAGGAATAAGAATAATTAAGATCATCAGCCGAGCAGTCAGAATCAATAAGACACGAGAATAAAACATAATAAGACACATTAGTTAAAACCAATGAAAGATGTAAGAATTAAAATTATTCTCTGAGGTTAAAGTTGTGAATTAACAAGAGAGAATATTTGATACCCTCTGAGGTTAAAATGGTATATTAATGAGAAAAAAAAACTCAGATTTCTCCTGAGATTGAAGTGGCAAATTTCCGAGAACAAGCCTCCGACATTATCTGAGATTAAAATCATAAATAAAGAAAAAAAACGTAGATATAAATGTCATAAATCTACTGTGACAAACCTCTGATATTCTCTAAGATTAAAGTGGTACATTTACGAAAAGTAGTCTGATATTTTCTGATACTGAAGTGGATAAATTTCCAAGAACAAATGTCTGATATTTTCTGAGATTATATTGGTAAATTAACGGCAGAAAAATGTTGATATTCTCTGAGAATAAATGTCATAAATGTCCGAGAAAAAAATGTGGATATTCTCTTAGATTTAAGACGTATATATGTACGAGAAAAAATCTAAAATTTTGTGAAACTGAAGTGGTAAAATTACAAGATAAAAACCTCGGATATTCTCTTTGATTAAATGGGTAAATTTATAAGAAAGAAATTCGTACATTCTCTGAGACTCCAGCAGTAAATTTAAATATATTAAAAAAAAATCTCACAAATTAAATTTTCTTGCAAATTTTTTACTTCAGAATCGCGGAGAAAATTCACTCAAGTTTTTCTCTGTTGTAAATGTACGAGTTTTCCCTCAGCACATTGCCCCTCCTCTGTAATTTATTATCTCACTGTCGTAGGTTTCTGAACTCAGTCCTTCAGTCTCAGAGTTTAAAGGTCTGACATGTTAAAGAAATAAGATCTGACTTGAATAAACTGCAAAGTCCTGTAGATTTCCCCTCAGAATCAGCACTTAAGAAGATGAAGGCACTTAAACGTTCTCTCTTGGATTTTACAGGTGCATTTTGGTCGGGTCTCCACCAAACGCCACAAGTTACCAAGTCATCGTCAGATTTGCGAAAACTCCAAGTTTGAAAACTTTGATTAACGTCACAGTCAGGACCTGCGTGTTTGTGGATAAACGCGTCGTCTTGTTTCCAACCCGTCAGATTTATAAATGTTAGAGGTGACGGAGAAAGCCACAAGAAGATTCCCAAAGTTTTAATAAACAGGAAGTACCATTTAGGCATAAAGAGCAGAGCTGAGGTGTGTCGGCGGCGGCGGCGGCGATGATTCGGTCCTGGGTGATTTAACTGTTGTTTTCTTTGTTTTCGGGGAGGTGGGTGGGTGAACGTATGTTGGGATCTTTTGTTGGGGAGCGAGGCCTCATTTCTGACTTCTGTTCGGGTCTCTGAACATATCTCACAGAATGTACAGAAATAAAATCAAGATTTTTTTCTTTACAGCTAAATTCGAAAAAAAAAAAAAGAACTTTTTTTTTTGTCGAGTACATGTATTGCGAGGCCTCTCATTTATGTAGATGTTTCACTCCATTCAAATAAAAAACAGAAAAATGACGCTGCCTCTGTGTCTGTTCAATGCTGCTTTCAAGGACGCCGGCTCTCCTTCGCTGCCCGGCTGCCAATCAAAGGCCGGCGTGGGAGGTGTTGTTTTGTGCGGCTCCATCCAGACGAGTGGCATTGAAACATCGCCAGCGCCTCGCTTTTATGTGTAGGCCCATATGTTTCCGTAGCAACACAGACCCTCCACATTATTACCTGCAGCTCACTCAGGATGAAGTAGCTCCACTGCTCAAGTTTGCCTGAGCGAGACAGAAAAGGTTAATGATGATGAAGATGAAGCGGCGGGGGCGTCTGAACACAAATCTGTCACGACGAGAGGTGTGAAACGACCACTGCAACACCGAGGTGTGAAACGTTGTAGTAACAAATCAGGAGCGAGAGTGAAAACAACAAATCAGACGTGAGGTTTAATGTGTCGTGTTATAAAACAACAGGGAGGAACCACGGTGGTGCGTTCAGGTCCAACACCAATTATTGAGTATTTGAATTATTAAATTTACAGCTGCAGATTTGAAGGAGACTGTTTTCATCATGAGACATATCAGAGAACTTCAAATTCTGGTCTTTATTTCAGACTGTTTTTAACTTGAGCCGATTAATAAATCAGTGGAAAAGTGAAATGTTTGATTCTCTTAAAGGTACAGTTCACCCCAAAATTAGAACTATTTTTACTCCTCCAAGCTGGCAATAGTCGTGGCTGCAGGCATCACGTTTTCGCCTAATCTGTCCCACTCTCATTAATGCAGTATCTCAAGAACGCTTCCAGGTAATTTCATCAAATTTAGCACAAACGTCCACTTGGACTCAAGGTGCACTGAATAGATTTCGGTGGTCATAGGTCAGAGTTTAAAGTCAGTGTGACCTAATCTGTCTCATTCTCACGAACGCAGTATCTCAAAAAGGCCTTGAGGGAAGTTCCTCAAATTTGGCTCAAACATCAGCTTAGACACCAGAATGAACTGATTAGAATTTGGTCGTCAAAGGTCACTATGACCCACTCTTGGACACTGACCCGCTAGTTGGGAACCACTGATCTAAAGAACAGCTTCCTCAAATTAAGCACAAATATCCGTTTGGACTCAACAATGAACTGATGGTATTTCGGTGGTCAAAGGTCAAGATCACCATCACCTCATCCATCACATTCTCTTTAGCGCAACATCTCAAGAACTTCAGCACAAACATCCACTCAACTCAACAATGAACTGATAGTATTTTGGTGGTCAAAGGTCAAGGTCACTGTGACCTGGTTTGTCTAGTCTTGTGAACTTAATATCTCAAGAAGACCCTTAGGGAATTTCCTTAAATTTGGCACAAACTTCAAGTTGGACTTGAGGATGAACTTATGAGAAATTGGTGGTCAAAGGTGACTGTGACCTTGCGTCCGTCTCATTCACGTGATAGCGATATCTCAACACAACAAATCTCGTTTTCTCCAGATAATGAAATAATTAACACATGAACTTGAGATAACTTAAAAAAAATTTGAAAGCCATTTTCGGCCTCTGGACAGAGCAGCAACAGTCACAGACATCACACCAGGGTGTGACGGGTTAAAGGAGACAAGAAGAGGACGAGACAGCGTCTGTTTTTCTCAGATTTATTGACTCTTTACATTGTACAACAGAAACAATGAGGACCGGATGGCGTGGAGGCGTTTCCAGAAGAAAGCATGAAGGACGGACACAGAGTGTGAAGACGGCGGCAGAGACGTTTTTCTACCTCGAGACACAATCCAGTAAAGACGCTACCATGTTGATTAGTACGAACTGCTCCTTTAAAATGAAGGTAGGTGGTGGTGGGGAAATGTTGGCAGCGAGTTAAAGCGAGGAAGAAAGTCCTTAAAAAAAACAACTGTACAGCAAAAATATTTTTAAAATCAAACGTCACAGTAAAAATTACAATCTTTAAATAAATAAAAAAAAGCTCCACATAATAAATAGATATTACAATCTGTTAATACGAGACAGCAGCTCGTCACGAGTCGACTGTCGTTCAAGTTAAAGCAGAAACATCAGACGACTGAATCAGGAAGTCGTTAACTGGTGTCATGGAGCTGGTTTAAACTGGTCCAGTTCACTGAGCCACAACTCAACTGGTCTCATGGAAGAGACAAAATTATTATTTATACTAAATTAAAATGTTCCAAAAATAAAATATTTTAAAATAAAAACAATAAAATAAAATATTTATTTTTTATTTTAAATAATTAATAAAATAAAATGTAATAATGTTATTATTCTAAAACCATATTTAAATAATAAAAATGCTTTTAAAATAATAATAAAATTAATAGCATAGTATTAAGATAAAACAAAGACACCTGATCAGAAAACTGGCTCACTGCTGCAGCAAAAATTAATTTTCATCTTTGAAAAAACAAAATCACAACTAGAGGTGAAGAAGAAGAAACATTAAAAATAAAACTGCCAAAATTTATTTAATTTCAATTTGGTGGTTAAATAAATCAATACAAACAAATAATTATAGAAATAATACCAAAAATGAAGAGTAAAATTATAAAATTAATAAAATATATGTAAAATATTTTATGGAATTTTGACTGCTGTTTTGAATAATTTAGTTTAATTCAAATATTTGTTGTTGTTTGGTCTTTTTAATCTACAGTGCTGTGCAAAATAAAGGCATTTTAATTTTTTTATTTATTTATTCATTATTGGATAGATGATGATGAAATGTGGTTCGTCATTAATTTAGCGCCATCATCAATTCAACATGTTAACATGTCCAATACTTTGGTTTATGACCAAATACCTGCAGAACTGATGACATTGATCAGCCTCAGCTGTGTTCACTGATAATTAGCTAATGTTAGCATGCTAGCATGTTAGCAACACTCTAAACTAAGATGGTGAAACTTTCAGGGTCAAATTTCAGTTTTAGCTGCAGACACCTGGTGGGAAATCAGTGTTATTCATTAATAATGTCCGAAATCTGCTCAATGTCAAAGTTAAACATTAAACAAATAAAGAAACTTAAACGGTAACTTCTGTAGTTTTCAACCTGGACTCTAATTTCTCAGACACAAAAGATGAAAAAAACAGGGTCCAGATTGAAAAATCATGAAGTTCTCCTTTAACATAATTAACAAACTATAATTAATAATCATTCATTTTTAGTCTGACGTGATCCGACCCGTCATGGCAGTAATTGTTCTGATATATGTTAAAAAGCGTCACTTTGTTTTAAACTCGTGACTTTTGTCCCTGTCAGGATCCTGTAGGAATGATTTCTGACATTATTCCAGAGTTAATTAGCCCTGCGTCACCATGGTTACCACGGTGATCTACCGCGGTTAAAAGAGACCCAGCTTCATGACACCAGAAGAGTTCGATACTAACGTCCTGACGCAGACTGCTGCAGCTCTGAAACAAACTGTATGATGATGATGATGATGATGATGAGTGGACACATGATGATGATGATGATGATGGTTTGCAAGCAGTGGTGATTATAAGTGCAGCACAGGTAATATGTCTGAGTGTCAGTGCATCAGTTAAAGTTAGTCAGAGTAATAAAGGGTTAATCAGGGCCAGCCTTCAGTCCACTCTGATCCTCACACACACATCCAGGGACGTGATTGGTTAGTTAGATGTTTGTTGATATTTGATGGGCTCCTCCTCCCCCTCCTCGCAAAGCAGGCGGTTCATCAAGTATTTGAAGAGTAATGAGGTCACTTCCTGTTAGAAAAGTGAGGCTTTCTTCTTCAGTTCATTTCGTCTCCACAGAGAGAGGCGGTCGAACTCGGCCATCGGCATCCCGAAAATCTCCTCAAACTGCTCCGGAGACAGATGCCTCTGAGACGAGAAGAAGAAATGAATGACAGCGTATTTATCCAACGTGTGTTGAAGGACACAGTGTGTTAGTGTCGAAGTGACCAATGGGAACGACAGTATTTGAGACTGGTCCAGTTTAAGAGAGCACGCTGCATCGTGAGGTCACTGGTTTTATGTAACCTCTGTTCATACATCAGTAAACTACAACTATAAAATGAAAGAGAAAAAAATAACTTCATTCACTGGGCCGACTGCCGGCAACTTTTAAGGTGGAACGTTAACTTGTAATGTTACTCAATGCATGAGTTGATGACGTGAATCCATCAGCACACCTTAAATTTAACTGTGACAACTTTGAACATCACTTTAGTTTTTATATGACACACACTTTTAGTAATGACTTTAAAAATATAGATGAATTTGGAGCGGATTATGTGAAGGTCATATATTCTAATCCTCACTTCCTGTGGGCTACAGCAACACTAAACCCCTGAGCTTGCCTGAGAAGGACTAAATGCACAAAGCTGCTATTTTTAAATATCCCATGGAGAGAGACTCTCACTGCAGCCTGTTCTATTTTGTTGTGAAAATGTGGGCGTGCAGCCTCGTTCTGTGGACGATAAACCAGGTGCAGACTTCCATCTGTGTCACCGCTGATGAGGAAATACAGCGAGTGCTGGACGGAGCAGTGAGTGACAACAACCCCGCCCACATTTAAGAGGACTGTCTGAACACACCGAGGGTCTAGGTACCATGTCTGAAGGCTTACTGCTGGTTCCAGAGGGACTGGACTGAAAGGGTTTGGTGGAGACGGGACTCTCTCTCAAAACGTCTTGTTCCCATTTGTCACTTCGACACAAGTTTTCTGTGAGTGAGGCGTCACAATAAACTGCAGCTGAGATTCAATAGAAATACATGTATTATCCAGTTTAATCTTTGAGTTTTAAATCACGTGAAGACATAATTTAGTTATTTTCCTGCTCAAAATATGAAAGAAGAGTGCTGCTGTCGACGTGTTCAGCTCGTGTACTTCAGTAAAGTAGAAACACCACAGAGCACAAACACTCCTGCACTTAACATTTAACACAAACACATTAAAGTCAAATTAAACTTCAAGTACCAAAAGTCAAAGTCCTCATATGCAGAGTAATATGTATTATTATGACGACTGATGTATGAATGTGTTGATGAGTTTGATGTTGATCAGCTGATGGAGCTCATTTTAATGACTCTGATTCATCTGTAATATGACATCATTTATTATTGATTAGATTTTGTATCAATAATCTGACAGATAATTTTAAACTGTGGATTTTCTGAGTCATAATTCATGCACACACACTCTGATACACACACTCTGATACACACCTCCAGTCGAGTGCGGTCGACTCCTGGTGGCAGCTTACAGCGCCCTCTGTGGGTCACAATCAGAGCTTCATAGGGATAGATCTGAACAGACAGGAAACAACATGAACTGTGACATCATCATCATCATCATCATCATGTCACCTCTCAGGCTGTATCATATATCACTAAAATTAACAGGTAAAAATTACAAATATGTTCCTTCATGTTGACATTTTACAGATTTGTGTTTTGCTTCAACACAATAAAAACTTTTTAATTCAACACCCAAAAATATATCTGAATGAATGTTTTTGTTTTTGTGTTTGTTTACACAGTTCATCCCTCATGGAATTATTCAGACACATTTATCAAAGACAAACACAAAATTCTGATTATATAAACCAATCAGCATCTCATGAGACGATATATCAACCTCAGACAAGCCTACACACAAAGGCCCAGCAGATAAACAATAATAATAATAATAATAAAAAAACAAAGTCCCAGTAGAAAAAAACCCTAAAAGCTCATTGAGGAAATTTTTAAAAATAAATGGAAACAAACACACAAAAAAGTCCCAGAAGATAGAAAACAACAAATAAAATAAAAATATTTAAATGTTCAAGGAGACTAAAAAAAATAGAAAAACAAAGTTCTAGGAGATTACAAACAAAACACATAAAGAAATCAAACAAACAAATAAACAAAAAATAATAAAGTCCCAGGAGGGAAAAAAAAACTACAAGAAAAAAATAACAGAAAAAATAAATAAATAAAATAAATTGAATTGAATTGAATTTCTCCTCAGGGGGATTGATAAAGTAAATAAACTTAAACTTAAATTAATAAAAATATTGTCAGAGTCGAAGGGGATTAAAAAAACAAATAAAATGAAATAATTATTATAATAATTACTATTATTACAAGAGATAAAAAATTAATAAATAAATAAATATTGCCCCAGGAAATTAAAAAAAAATCTAAAATAAATAAATACATCATTAAAAAACAAATTAGGTCAAAACTAAATAATATAATAATAATAATAATTAATAAATAAATAAATATTAAAACACATTAAGTCCCGGGAGATTTAAAAATAAATAAATAAATAAAAGTACCTAAAGATTAAAAAAAAAAGAAGCTGAAAACAAACAAACAAACAAAAGTCCCAGGAGATAAAAAAAAACACTACATAAGAAAAATTAAAAAGAAAATCTAAAAAAAAAAAACAAAACAACTAATACATGAATAAATAAATAAACAAATACACAAGAGAGAAAAAAAAAAGGAAAATCAAAGTTCCAGAAGAAAAAAAAATCAAAACAAAATAAAATGTCTCAGGAGATAAAAACTACAACATATATATATATATATATATATATATACACTAAACTAAACACTAATAATAATAATAATACTTATTATTATTATTATTATTATTATTATTATGAGTCAATAAATAAATAAACAAATGGTCACAAGAGATGTTTAACAACAGATATTAAATATTGCTCACACAAATAGAAACAATAAACAAACACAAACAAACTAATCTGCCGTCATGTGTCAGCTCAGAGTCAAAACAGCTCTCACCTTCTGCTCCAGGATACTTGGCAGAGAGTTTCCTCTGTCCATCCTCTCCCTGCGAGTGTCTCCGTTCTGCACACACACACACACACACACACACACACACACAGTATGACAGATACTCCTGTACAGTCTGATAAACATAAACATTGTCACAGTGACGCAGAACTGAAGCCAAAAGTCAGCAGTGTTAGAAATCAGTGCACGGTGATGGTGTGAAGATGTAGCACACACACACACACACACACACACACACACACACACACACACACACACAGGGTGGTGCAGGAGGAGTCAGACGGCAGGTTCAACACAGAGCTGCTGATGTCATGCGTGTGCCACACAGACGGCGTGGAGACGACAGACTCACCTGAGCAGCTGCAGACACACGACGACAGGAAGTTAGAGAAGAAGAAGAACCACAACATGAGGAGTAAACAACAACCACAGTGCGAACAAACAAACAAACAAACAGAATCAATGTGCACATAGTTCTTCAACATCCTGACGCTGTGTGATCTCATGTCGTAGATCAGACGTGTTCACACTGGGATCATGTCGCCACGAGGAGCGACGGCGGGCAGAGATACTGTGTCAGGTCAGTTTGAGTTAAAAACAATCTCACTTCTTTTACTTTCCTGCTGGTGCGTCATTTAGTGTTCTGGAGTAGCTTATTTATATATATTTATAACTGTGTGAAGAGAACGGAGAGACATTTACCTTGTTGTCCTTTATCTGTGGAGAACTCTGCAGACTGCATCTGTGAACACACACAGCACAGTTTGATGTTCGACACATGACAAATGACACAGACGGTTCAGAGCTGAAGACGTGCTCACTACTGTCAATGTGTAAAGGTCACAGCGAGTCATAAAACCAACCCGTCAAAACATCAGCATCATGAACCAAAAACGTTACCGTCAGCTCTGTGACGCCGCCACCAGGACAGACTTTAGATCAGGGGTGTCCAACTCATTTCAGTTCAGGGGCCACACAGCCCAGTTTATAACAAGTGAGCCGGACCTGCGAAACTAACGTCCACCATCACATGATAATCATTAAGGAGCAACCTTCTTTGTAATGGCACTTCCAGTTTCAGATTTTCAAGGTAGAAATGTGCGACTTTCACTTGTCTGTCATGTCCTCAACATCAGGAATTATCTTCTTCATTTTTATTTCCAGCAACCCAAAAATCAAAGAATGAAAACATTTACTTTTTAATTTATGAGAGACAGCAGTAATTAATTTTATACTTCTTCTGATTATAATCCAATCAGTCATATTTCCATAACGTTGTGTGTATTTTATAACGCCTTACTTTGAAAACTGAACGTAGTCACACATCCTTCTGCTAACTATGCTAAGTCAGTCGTTAGCTCCCCTCGTCAGCTCGATCTGGGCTGTTTGAAGGTGTTATTCAGTGTAACACATATTAATGTCAGTGTGTGGATGAACTACAGTCGTAGCGTCAGCTCATGTGACCGTGGACATCACAGTGATTGACCGCAGTTCATTCTTCTATATTACTGACTGTACTGACGAGCTGTAGCAGGGTAGCTACCTCGCTAATAGTGGTGTGTCGTTCACGAACGAATCGTTCAAAAGAACGAATCTGTTGAGTGAACGTACTGAACTGAATCACTTCCGGAACTGATTCGTTCATTCCTCAGTTCAGCTGAGCTCAGCAGTGAGCGTGCAGGCAGGGAGCGGAACTGACGATTCGGTTCCGTGCGAACGATGAATCACTCGTGAGTCGTGAAGCAGCCAGGGTGCAGGGAGGGACTGCCTACCGCGTAACGAATCACTCGGTGAACGAATCACTCAGTGAACGAATCACACGGTGAACGAATCACACGATGAACGAATCACTCAGTGAACGAATCACACGGTGAACGAATCACTCAGTGAACGAATCACTCGGTGAACGACGTAACTCAGATCCCTGAGTGATTCAAATCATTTCTTCTCAGCGACACACTTTCATAGGGACCGTTTTCTCCAAGCTAACGGCTGATGTAGCCAGGAGTCAAGCCACGTGAACACAGTCGCACACCTCCCCATTGTTTTCACAAACTTAAAACGTTAGGTTGGCCAGTAATGAGACTCACCAGTGCAGCTCAGCCGTGTATCAGTTCAGTGAGTCGGACTACACAGTACACAGCCAGGGCTCCTCCCGCCAAGCACTGAACGATTCGGTGAACGAATCTTTTGAATGAATCTTTTTAATGAACTGATTCTAGCGATTCAGTAACATCTAAAGAACTGCTTTGCCCATCACTACTCACTAACACTGCTAACAGATATAATAATCATGAGAGTTTGTTATATTAGACGTTTAAATCAAACTGTTGCTCCAGAACACAAATGTGAGCTTGTATTAACACAAAGTGTTTATGATGCGTCTGTTGAGGACGCGGTGGCTCATGCTGGTAGCTGTCATTTCTGTGCTGCTTTGTAGTCTCAACCTTTAGTGAGGTGGCTGTTACATTTCTTCAGACCAGCTATATTTCCCAACACTGCTCGCTGAGCGAACAACGTCGGTGCTACCAGTGAGTAACTATTACAACAAGCACCAAAGGAAAGTCTGTCAGAATGATGCAGTTATCATGGGTACGATCGTCTCTTAGGTACAGTCATCCAAAGGGCCGGATGAGGCCTTCTGACACCTCTGATCATCTGTACGTTCTTTGTTCTAACTCATGATGTTTTCAATGTGCAGAATCTCATTGGTTCTGTAGACGAGCACTTACTCGGGTCAGACCTGGTCCTGAGTGTGAAGGGGACTTTGAAGCACTCGCTGACAAACCTGCCGACAAACATTAAGAAAACACGTTGAGCTCCGGTTCATGAACCCAGAAACTAAAACCTGAAGACGCCTCAGACGGCAGAGTCTCACTGGTGTGCAGGTGCGTTCTGTCGGGCAGCGACTGTGTCTTCCTCCGAAAGTGAACGGCCTTCTCCTTCTCCTCCTTCAGGATCAGACGACCCAGGTTGGACTTGATCTGGATTCACAGACACAGGAGCCATCGGTCATCTCTCCCGGTTCATACTGTGTGTGTGTGTGTGTGTGTGTGTGAGTCAGACTCTTTACCCACAAACCTTTTCCAGCTCTTGCTCCCGCAGCATCTCAGCCTCGTTCGTCAGGTCTTCAAACTCGTCTTCCTCCTGCAGCTCCTTCTTCTTCCTCCTCCACTCGATCTCTACGAGAGTTCAACCTCAGAGTTAGGTCAAGATACAAACCACCAGAGCTCCCTGGGGTTTAAAGTGTGGCTGTGTGCAAAGATGGACCTGTTTGTCAGAATGAGACAGTACGACAACAGACTGTGTTTCGTGATTTAAAGCTGCACTTTGGATCCTGAGAAATATTCAGAGTGTCTGCGTGCACCTCCTGCAGCAGTGCGACATGCAGAGGGCTGGGTGAAGGAGGACAGAGCCTTGATAAGCAGGCGTGGTGATTATTACACACTGTCTCAGCACTGGTGTCATCACTCTGAAACTGCTGAGTCACCCTTTAACGTATCATGTATTAAACGACACCAGGCTGCTTCAGTAGAACCACAGTTATCAGCTGCTGCAGAGCAAAATGTTTCGTGGGAGAACACAGAAGTATTTATTCATTTATTTCACCCATCTGTTTTTTTTCTCCATCATGTCCCCTCAGGGACTCCGTACGATTCTCAGTCTAACACAAAATGAAACTCTATCATGGAACATTTTCATACTGCAATAAAACTTCTGTTTTTACAACAGATTCGATGACTTCTCGTGGCTTTAGGTGATGTTGGCAGGAAACAGTTGCTGGTTATAATAATTAACCACAGGTGGAGTTCAGGTTTAAGAGATGTGATTTAGTTTCAGGCAACACAGGTTTAACCCGGGCTTAAACGTACCCATGGCAGCCAGTGAGGGGGGGCAGGGCCAGTACTCGGTCTCAATCTTGGACGGCTGGTTTGGGTCTGGAGGCTGAGCTGCTGGAAACTTTGCTGACTTAATGACGCCTTCCAGATGTTTGTTAACATCTGCAGAGACGACAGAGGGACGACATGAAGAAGAGGAAATACAGGAGCAGCACGGAGACACGTGACGAGGAGCTCACCTTGTTTGTAGATGGGAGGTTTCCTGTAGATGTTGGATCCATTATCTGAAAACAGATTTCTCAGAGTCAAGATTACAAAGTATGGAAGCCCAAGGCTGCACATATTAAAATATAATCATTTAATCTACATTAATTTTATTTCAATTTGCATGCATGATGTATGACGAATAGATAACAGAAATGGCAATTAAATAAATGGTTATTTTTATATCTAAATTGGCAGATTGTGAAACCTAAACTTTTTTCTATGTGACAGGATTTGATTTCAACCCTTACTTCCATTTACTTTAAAGTCGTGCCCTCTAGTGGCCATAATGATTATTACAGTGACGTGATGTAGCATAAAACGTAACAAAGTGCACGTAATGTTGTACAAATGTCCCCACAGGGTGGGTCCATCAAACAAACACAGGACATCCACCGAGGAGACTAATGTTCATGTCCTGAAGACAACATTGACTTCTTTTAATAACAACATAGCCTATGCTAGCATATGTAGCATGCTAAACTCGCGACACATGTAATGTATGTCACATGACACACTGCACGTTTATAAGTTAGTAGCAAAGTACTTATTTATTGCCAAACTATGTTTGTCCTAAACCTAACCACATTATGTCACCTAAACCATCCAGGTAGTTTAGTTGCCAAAAGCTAACTAGGTACTTTTGTTCAGGTAGTTTTGTTAACTAAGCCTAATCAGGTAGATCTGTCCAAGTAGTTTTGTCACCTCAAGATAATCAGTTAGTATGTTGTATAAAGATAACCAGGGAGTTCTGTCGCCTAAACCTAACCAGGTAGTTTTATCGCTTAAACCTAACAAGATATTTTTGCCATCTAAACCTGACCAGATAGTTTTGTCACCTAAACATAATCAGTTAGTTTTGTTGCCTAAACCTAACCAGGTTGTTTTGTTGCCTAAAGCTAACCACATAGTTTTGTTGCCAAAAGCGAACCAGGGAGCTCTGTCACCTAAACTGAACCAGATAGTTTTATTGCCTATACCAGACCGGGTTGTTTTGCTGCCTCAACCTAACAAGGTGGTTTTGTTGCCTAATCCTAACCAGGTAGTTTTGTAGCTTAACTGTAACTGCGACTGCTTGTGTTTCATGATGTTAAGGATGCATTTAAAACTGTGACCATGTTTTGGGGTTGGTCTTATAAGTGGTTTTGGAAATCAGTGGACATCAATGTATACTGTAGTTCATGCGAGAGCGTTGGGTTGAAATGAACCACGTCTCCCTCGTATTTGTGAATCTGGATTAGAATGACATAACCGGTTTGGAGATAAAAATCAGGTCCACACATCGTAAATCATTCAATGTTTGGGTTCAGACGGTTGCTTTATAGTTGCGGTCCCCAGCCTTAATTGATATAAACCATCTTGTGTGTGTGTGTGTGTGTGTGTGTGTGTTACCTGGTCTGTGAAAATGCTGCTGGCTGGCGCTGATCTTGCGTGCAGCCTGCAGTTGCATCATCGATCCTCCAGGAGAACCACTCTCACTTTCTGCCCTGCGAGCCTTCACCTGGAAAAATAAACACACACAGAGGAGAAAGAGAAGTGGTGCAAACTGTTAAATGTTTGAAGCCGACTGGCAGAATTATACAAAGAATGCTGCTTTGCTTTGCCATCATGTAGTTAAAAATCTGATCTCCTTTTCTTTCTCGATTAGCAACAACATTACACCACCATAACAAACAGCTAAACTCCATGCTGGACTGGAGCTCAACAGAGACGCTTTCTGTTCTCAGAGACTGCAGGCGAGTAGAGACTTTAAATGTCACATTTTTAACTCTGTGATGAAACAAAGCAGCAATTGATTTCAAGAACTGGACGAGAATATGAAGACATCAGTCAAACATTTGCTTTTTGAATCAGTCTGGGTCGTGACCAGCCACTGACTCATGGAAGATCTGACATGGGTCACCAAAGGTTCTTTTACTGAAACACTGCTAACCACTGACCACTAATCTGTGTCTTTTAAAAATAGACTGTTTATTCAGTCTCTGGTTATTTAGCAGCACATTCAGCAGCTTTATTACAGCTACACAGTAGAATAACAAAATCAAATTGAACAAAACATTCATTTAATCGACTGGCTTGTTGTTTCTGGAGCTTTTGTCCACATCTCATGACCTTCATCATCAGCAGGTGAAGGTCATGAGATGTGAGAATGAAACTGGGATGGACTTTGAAATTTCTGAACTACACTAAGGTACTGGTGTAAAACAAATCATGCAGTGGGTCTGTGGATATTCTCATTTATCCAGGTCAATTCCATTCTGGCAACAATTAAATCGTAGGCAACTGGACTTTGATTTTGTCTAGAAGACGTTTCACCTCTTATCCAAGAGGCTTCATCAGTTCTCAACGCATCAGTCTGACTAGTCCTCACTAGTCTGACAAACAGTGGAGTAAGACTCAGGTTTTTAACCTCTGTGGAGGTGTACAACCATTAAACAAACGCATGGCTCAACACAGAAGGGCAAACTCCTCAGGTCCAGTTTCTGCTGTTTATTTACATCTAAAGGAGAAGGCTCACTCCTTTGAGGACAGCAATATGAAAATCTTGGACAGAGAGGACAGATGGTTCGAAAGAGGGGTGAAAGAATCCATCTACGTTAAAATAGAGAAACTGTCTCTAAACAGGGGAGGTGGCCTGAGACACCACCTATCCACCATTTACAATGCGGCCCTTGCTGCTGTACCTGAGAGATTGAACAACAAAGACTGCCCGAAACTAACCTCAAGTGGCTCAAAGAAACTCAACGACAGTCGTTCACTGGTAACCACACATCATGCCTAACGACTGTTGCTCACCAGTGGCCCCACCCACTCCTAACGACCGTCGTTCACTAGTGTGACTCACCTGACCCAAACAATGGTCCAGTGAAACTCCACTAACGAACTATTGTCTTATGAGGGTGGTGGGTGTACACCTCCACAGAGGTTAAAAACCTGAGTCTTACTCCACTGTTTGTCAGACTAGTGAGGACTAGTCAGACTGATGCGTTGAGAACTGATGAAGCCGCTTGGATAAGAGGCGAAACGTCTTCTAGACAAAATCAAAGTCCAGTTGCCTACGATTTAATTGTTGCCAGAAAATCATGCAGTGATTTGTGTGTGAAACAAGTGAAGCAGTCTGTGGCAGCTCTTACCTCAGGAGACATGGTTGGAGACGTGGCGGGAGGAGACAGAGACCGCTGCAGATCAGAAACACAATAAAGACATTAACACTCAAAATCTTTAAACTACCCAGGAAGGCAGAGAACTGGAAGGCCATCTCCGGTGAACTTGATAAACTGCTTAATTGTTTTATCGTGCAGCCGACAGAATATATTTTCATACAGATTGTAAGAGTCGTTGAGGATTCTGGAAATTTTGTCACAACAAAAGTTAAAAAAACAACAACTACCTGTTAATTTTGTTTTAAAGACAGTGACGGTGAAATCAGTAACCTGAATTATTACAGAATGTGAGATACACAAACCAGGGCTTTTTTTGGTTATCATTCCCCCATTGTTAGTTCGAATAAATTGAATAACCACAAAATGTTTTTATTTTTTTTTTATTTTTTAATTACAGCCAGAGAAAAAACACTAATTCTAGTTTTAGGTTTAGCAGTGGCTAGTCGTCTTTTTCTGACAAAGAGTCGGCAAAATGTAACCAGGTAATTTTGCCGCCTAAACCTAACCAGGCAGTTTTGTCACTTTAACCAATGGAACAGAGTGGTGCAGAAATGAGTCCTTAAACCCACAAATTAGCATTTTTGCCCTTCCTGTTCCCTCGTCTCAAAGTCAGTTGGTTTTTGTTGGATGTCTGAAATAAGGTCTGTGGTTGACACAAGCTTAAGAGACTTTCACGCTTTGCTCTACGAAATAAAAAAGGCAGTAAAATACTCAACTGTGGAAAAAATGCAAATACATCAAACAAGAATGAACTTGAGGTTGGTTTTCATTTTTGAACCTGTTTACGTACAGTAACTACAAATTTCTGTACAGTAAACCTTTAAGTTAAATTACTTCAACAAAAGTAGAACTTTTTCAAGAAGGCACCTAAATTACAATAAAGTCTGGCTCATATTACTTTAAGAAAATCAGTTTAAACATGAATTAATGGTTTAATTAGTACTTCGTAAGCACTTCTCCCTACAGTTCATTATTCATTCATTATTCATACTGGTCCACCAAACTGTTTCACTGGCTGTCAGACTTCACACCTTCCAGGAACCTTCTGGTGCTGCTGAACTTGATGTTACAAACAGCCCGTCTGTTTTGGTTTCATACCAATACATTCTTTTGGAATCAAACTCCTGTTTAAATTCTATGTGAAGATCACACCATCTCCAAAACATCAGATAACCTCAGCGTTTGTTTGTGCTTAACTTTTTAGTGTTTGTTTTTGTGATGTCATTGTGTTCCCAGATCTGGCATAATATTATTACCAAAAAAGATACGAAACTAAAACAAGAGATGTGATAAACTGGAGTCACATCACCCACTAAAAGTGTCTGATGGTGTCAGAGGTGGAGGAGCAGGTAAATTCCAGTCAATTTTTCAGTTCTAGTTACTGTGTGCCATTGTGTTGCACTACTACTGTAAAACTTGAATTAAAAGCCTGGTCCCAGTTAAACGCCCAGTCCCTTTCACTAGCCCGGTGTGGCTCCACATTTTGACAAATAAAGGCCTGTCTCAATTAAAGGCCTGGTCTGGTTGCAAAGCAGTTCCTTTTTCTTTTCTTCTTTGGATGTATAAAAGCAGGTTGTTGACTACCCACCTCAGCTAACATAATTTCTCAAGACAGATTCTGCAATCTACACTGTAGAATCTGTCGGCAGCTCTGTGTGAAAGACGACTAGAGAGGGGGAGGGCGGGGCTTTGAGTTTGAATGATGCTGTGCTTTAGCCAATCACAATGGAGGGGGCGTGGCGGAGACGTGCAGGTGTCCCCAGGAAATGTGTACCTACAGAAACAGCAAGCTCCGCGTTCATAGCGACCGCTCCACCCAAAACGCCGTCTCGTCAACGTGAAAAAAAATATTTTTTCCAGCGGATGTCTGAGTTACAACATGATTGAGCTAACTGGAGTAGTTTCATGTCGTATCCGACAATGGGAGGCTTTTAACAGATGACGTCATGATGTTAGCTTTGCTAACTGTCCCTGTCAGCTGCAGCCACTGATGCTTTCTAGACATCGTGATTTCCCAAAACTGAATAAATACCACACATAGCAACACAAAACTGCTTTGCTAGCTCAATCATGTTGTAACTAAGATATCCGCTGGAGTTATTACCTTATTTTTATACAGTCTATGGTTATTACAGACACCGCTTAAGGGCTAACAATAACAGCTAACAGTTCGCCCAGCTAATCTACGATGTTATTATTGTTATTATTTACAAAACGTGCACACAGAAATAGTAACGTTTGTTCAGTCATTGTGTTTATAGACTTAACAAACATCAGATTAGTCTACACGGTGATATAGTGACGTGAAGAATGTGATAGCTAAATGGTTTTCTACTTAAAGTATTTGTAAACAACACGGCGATTCCCTGGGGGCACCGCTGGAAGTGAAGGGCGTGAGCAATCGAGGCCGAGGCCCCTGCACTTCCGAAAAACTCCGGGCTGTGCCTCCAGAGATAAAGGAAGAAGAAAAAAATTTTTTTTTTTTTTTTGTTTTTTTTTTACCGATGGATTTCCAGATTGCAGCTAACATAGATTGCATATATAAATATAAATGTAAATAAAGTTTTGTCAATATGGAGATGCTACACATCGTTAGCTTGGTTCAGTTCATTTTACTGAAACCATGAGCACCAGAGTAGACCATAATTCACTGAGTTTTACCAGCGTGACAAAACACAAGTGGTGACTCCCTTCCTCTGATTACCCAACAACTTATATTCCTTTAGTCTTTAAGGCTCCACCGATCAAAAGAATCAAACGTGTTTTTTGTAAAAATGAATAGTTTATGAATATTGTTTTACCAGAATAAAACTTTATTGTGTCTGAGACGAGTGTCATAACATAACACATAATTGAAACGGTATTCGAAGCCTTATTTTTATACAAGTAATATTCATACTGGTTCAAATAAACAATTGGATGGTATTTCCTGATCTTTGCTGAGTAACAGTTTGGTGTAAAAGGAATTAAAGGCCTGTCCCAAATACAGGCCTGCTGAGTTCAGTGATTTAAGCAAACAATAGCCTGGGCTACTAATACAAGTTTTACGGTATACAATCCATGTAGCGTGTGTGTTTGTGTACTTCTCTGCGTGGAGGGTCGAGTGGGGAGAAGCTCAGGTGTGGTTTGTAGGTCATCAGGTCCGGTCTCTCAACCTGCAGGATGGCTTTATCTTTCGGCAGAGCTGCCAGGTCTCTGTAGCCCACCACCTGGTCGTTCACTCGGGCCTGAACGCACCACACACAGGTGACAGGTTAGTGCTGCACACATTGAGAACACAGGTGTCTTTGAGCTGCTAAAAGTGTGTGTTTACCGTGATGCCAGTGGCGGGAGACCCCGGGGTGCTTGAACCCCTGGAAGGAGGCAGGTTGACTGGGGTTACCCGTCCCTCCACCTGCAACACCATCAGAAACATTCAGGAGGTGAATTCACTCCTTTTTTTTTGACAGTATTAAAAACAGAGTGCTCAGCTAAATCTGGGAATATCACTAACAGAACTCAGACAAACTTATGTGGAAGAGAAAACAAAGGTTAACAGTAAAATTAGACCCAAACTGTCTGTTGCAAACATATTTAGATGAAGTGGATGAAACTAAATTGTTAGTAAGCTAACGTGCTGTAAAGATTAGCTTGCCGTATACGGTGATATTGTGTTTTACATTTAAGTTATGGTGCTGTTACGTCTCATTCTGAGCAGTAAGGAGTTACAAAAATACTGAATTAAAAAAAAAAAAACTAATCTATTTTATTTTTTAATTTTATGAATATGTAACAAAGTAGGTGATACTAACAAATGTTAGTAAGCTAACATGCCGTAAAGATTAGCTTGATATATACGGTGATAATGTCTTTGTTATTAAAGTTATGGTTATGTTAACCTCTCATTTTAAGTGGACGACGTTAAAAATACCAGAATATAGTTTTTACTCTACTTATATGTTTTTAAAGTAGATTATACTAATGTTAGTAGGCTAACGTGCTATAAAGATTAGCTTGCTGTATACCATGATACTTTGTTTACAGTGACCTACTTCTCATTTTGAGTGACCGGGAGTTCAAAAATACTGGAAAATATTTTTTATGAATATGTTTTTGAAAGCAGTTAAGCATGTTAGTAAGATATAAGCTATACTGTAAGTTGTATGGTGATATTGTGTTTTCTATTAAATGTATGGTGCTGTTACGTCTCATCCTGAGAGTTAAAAATACTTACTTTTTAAATACTTAATACTGTTGCAGAGTGTTTTGAATGTGCATACTTTGTGTTTTCAAACTGTCATTTATGAGTCTCTGACAGGATGATGAATTACCTTCTGCATGGCTGGAGAGAAACCTTCCTCCTGTTTGGTTTTAACCAGCTGGAACAGAAACAAGAGAGAGTCAATCAGCAAATGCATTAGCCATTACCGTATACAGCTTCTCATCACAGGCTGACATTATGAATGAGTTGGGGAATGACTCATCTCGAGTCTGAGGAAAAAGCAAAGTAATGAAATTTCATTTCTGCTGCACGATGTTCTCTTACAGCAAACATTTTAAAGGGTGAGGCCACCTCACAAATATAGTGTTTAATTTTTTTTTAAAGATTTGTAATGAAGCAAAACAGCTGGTCACTTAAGTTTCAAAAATACAAAATAAAAAAGTGCACTTGTTGGGGACTACATTCAGCAGCAGCTTAAGACATTTCAAGCAGTTAGCAATGTTAGCCTTGTTGCTAACGTAACAATGAGTCCACAGTGTACCATAATGCTGGTCAGTGGTGCAAATTTGCATGTCACTGTTAACTCCAAAACCAATGTTAGCATGCTAAGTGCTAAACTAAGATGCTAAACAAACTGTTAAACATCAGCATGTTAGCGTTGTTCGTATGTATACCTACAAACAGTAATGCACCAGAATTAAAAATATAACCCACGTAATCAGGAAGGCTGTGATCATGCAGACAATGCACTGACAGGAGTAAAGAAGGAAGTATTATTTAAATTGGAAGTCCACATAAGGGTGGAGGTTGGGGTGGTGCAAGGGTCAAACAAACACAGGACTTTCCCCCAGGACGCTGGTGTTCACATCCCGTTTGAATCCAAGTGAAGAGTTATTTTAAAGGATGTCGTAGCTTCGTCACCTTATGTTAAGTACATGTCAGGACAACACCCAACCATGTTTTTTCTCATAAACCTAAACTACGTAACTTTACTTTCCATTAACTGAACTACCTAATTTTACTTTCCTAAACCTAATCTACGTTGCTTTACCTTTCTAAATCTAAACTTCATTACTTTACCATCCTGAAACTAAACTAGGTAACTTTACTTTCCCAACTCTAACCAACATAACTCTACTTTGTTAAACTTTAACTACATTACTTCAGTTTCCTAAACCTAAATTAAGTAACTCTAGTTTGATTAACTTATCCCACGTAACTTTACTTTCATAAACCTTAAATATGTTACTTTCGTTTTCCTAAACCTAACCTTCGTAACTTTACTTTTCTAAACCTAAATTAAATAACTTCAGTTTCCTTAACCTATCCTACGTATCTTTAGTATCCTTAACTTAAACTACGCAACTTCTACGCAAACTACGTTATTTTGCTTTCTTTAACCTATCATACATAACTTTCCTAAACCTCAACTATGTAATTTTAATTTTCCTTAACCTAAAGACTGTATTGAAAGGTCACAGCAGCAGTGCACAAATTACACAGAGAATACTGCAAAAACAAACACAAGTACTAACAAACATCAGAGTTCATTTGAAGCACATGCACACAAGTGAATAAATTGCAGTAAGGTGTGCAAAAAGGATTTTATTATAGGATAAAAAGTTGAAAAAATGTGGGCCAAAAGTTAAACATAGTTATGAAGTCAGACTAGTCCAATAATTAGTCCTGTGATACTGCAACAAAGCTGAAGTGAGTTAATCAATATTAGTGAAAAAATTCACTTACTAACATCATATTCAGAGACATTTCTCCAGTGAAGTGACTGATTGTGTTAATTCTCTGTGACTGAAATCACAGTTGGGTTGTTCAGAGAGCTAATAGATCGTCTTTCGTCCTTTTGAGCAGCTTTCAGAACAAACGATCCTGTTTCAAACCTTTCAAACGCACCACGTCCCCCGAGGTTAGGCCGGACTGATGGGGACAAGGAGACTGAGTGTAAAACAACACTGTGAATCAGATTTAGGCATGGCTGTTATCAGAGCCTCCTCAGGGGATGGACGCACGAGGAGGAGGACGAGGAGGAGGAGGAGGAGGAGGCAGCTGTAGTCCTGCTCACAGGAAAGACACCTTGTACCTAAACAGCATGAGAGCCTCTCTGCTAACATCCCTGCAGGGGGAGGATATCCTCCACACAACTTCCTGTGAACCCCCTCCTCTTGTTGTGTCTTCTCTTTCATCTGTCTCCCTCTTCTTCCTCCTCCATCTCCATCCCACCCTTCGTCTTCCTCTTCCTCCCCTCCCCTCTCCTCCCTGGCTGTTTATCAGCTCACCCAGCCAGGCCAACGCCCAGCCGGTCCTCAACAGTTATTGCTGTGGTTACACTCCTCCCTCCAGAGAATCTACACAACACAGCCAGGGGAGCGTCACCTTCCCTCCCGCTCCCGTCCATGTGTAACCATCAAATGTCGTTAGGTCAAAAACAAAACTGACACCAGATCAGTGAGAGATGATTTCTCTGCTGTCTGTCCTCAAGTGAACTCGATCTGTGCTGACGGAGAAGCAGAACAGATGGATGTTGTCATCTGGACAGAGACATCTAAAATATCTTCCATGAAACCGCGTCATTACGTCGAACACACAATGACGTTACTCAAATTAACGAGCCATCTCCCTCAGGGGAAAATGTGATTTGAAATTCTTTAGATCACTAACATTGTATGATCACATATTTTTCTTTTCAAACACATCATAGGTTTGTTTTATTCATATTGTTCTTGTTATGTGACGTACTGCTAGCTAGCTAGCTAACACAATAATAACAAAAACAACAAGGTGTCAAACTAATGAGGCGTAGAATTATTGAACCATTACAGCTATCAAGCTCAAAGGTGTTTAGATTTTTTTTTAATTTATTTCCTTTTTACCTTGTAAAAACAGTTAAACCGTGACATCACGCTAACAACAGCAATCACTTTCAGGTAGATAACTGGAAATTGGTTTAAAATTGCGGAGATATGTAGAACTGCAACTTTTGGATTTCTGTTGTTATTTTCAGTTCTATCTGTAACATTTGTAGTTAAACACAGTGGTCTGAGCTATCTGACGTTTCTGCTGCGATTTTTTTTTATGTTGCTTTGCTAATGTCTAAATCAAGCTAAACAGTGTAGCCCACTGCTGTGAACAGGGCTGCAGGGACCAGTTTAAAAAAATCGATATCACTGTAAGTGTATGCTTTATTTAAAGATTTGCTCCACATCAGCTTACAAACTAATCTATTGAAGCAGTGGTCGTTCAGCAACTCCAGTGTTCTGCTAAGTAAAATTACTGTTTTTGTCAGTGGAGTCTGGTGGCTCTGATATCACGTCTTCAATTCCCTGTAAGAAAAGGCTGCCTGATGGTGAGGTAAAGCAGTGAAATTGTTATAAATACAGCAAACACTTAAACTGATTTTTATTTTTTTCCACCTTTTTTAGGAGAAACAAATTGAGGCAGTGTTTTGCTGAGCACTGTTTGATTTTATGTATGTGATGCGAGGGTTTTCTACCCGCAAGTTATTGTAAATAAACTGTGATTGTCAATCAAATTAAATACTTAATCGCAATTATTTTATATTTGAATGTTCTGAATGTATCTTAAAGGGATATTTTTAAAGTTTTAATACTCTTATCAACATGGTAGTAGACAAATGTGCTCACTTTATGCAAATGTATGTTTATTTTTATTGCAACAATTCAAAACAATGACACATACTGTCCAGAATATTCTCCAGAATGACCTCAAAGGTACTTCATGCCATCTGCAACAACAGATGGACATATTGACCTGAATGTAACATTACTTTGTAATACTAACACAATGTAGTGTCCAAGTTTACACATGTAAAGCTCGATGTACTGTGGTGGTAGCTCAGTTCTCAGTTCTTAATTACAGAAAGTATGTGCATTAATCGTGCATCAAAAAAATTAGTAGTGTTAAAAGAATTAGTGTTAACTCATTATTAATGCGTTAACTTTGACAGCCCTAAAATAAACAGTCATTCTGTTTTAAGCAGTGCACAGGAATAAACATCTGCATTTTAGTGTTTGAGTCTCTTTTCAATAGTTGTTAAAATTTTCCAAATAAATTAAAGTTGCTAAATTTGTTGCGAGGTGTTTGTCAGAAAAAAAGTTGCCAGGTTAGTCTGAAAAATGAACAACAAAATTAGCATCTCTGCTACAAGCTAACTGGCTAAAATGTATATATTTTCAGCAGTGATAAAAACTGAACTATGTAATATTCTATAATGATATAACACTTTAAAAAGAGCCATTCTGCAGAACATGTACTTTTACTTTTGGTGCTTAAACTACATTTTGCCGGGCTGCATCCCAGTCACAAAGTAAATGTTGGCATCTTAGCTGGTCTCCAATGTTGTTAGATATTCATATTGGGTCGGTATTTATTTAAAAGGTCCATCTATGTTTAAAATAAATTTGTTATTACAATCAAATAAGCCAAAAGTCATTTGTAAACTGTGTGCTTTTTAGAAGAACGTCCTTCCTTTGTTAAAGTAGCCTAACATTGGTTGTGCTTTAGCCATGACATGTGTCATTGTTTTGTTATTGTATATAATGTTTGTACTCCGTACCATGTGATATGGTCATGAGTCAAATAAATGAAATGAAAATCAATTTAGTTCGTGACGTTGGGTGACCAAAATTCAATGTCAGGACAATGTCTCATGCCAACATCAGTTTGACGTAGAATAACATAATTTAGTCTTAGGGTAAATAAAACTCAACGTCTGCAAAACATCATCGTTTTAACATCCACATTGTGAAATGCTAACGCCATAAGCCGTTTAAAATATCAACACGATTTTCATTTCAACCAAAATTTAGTGCAGCGTCTTTCTGAGGTCATATTGACGTCTGGTGCCAGCTGGGATCGTACGTTTCTGCACGGATAATTACGTTTGTACATTTTTATGTAGTGGACATGTTAAAACTTAAAGATTCAACAGCACAATGGTTAACGTATGGTTAGGTTCAGGCGCAAAAAACACCTGGTTATGGTTCGGAAAAGATCATAATTTGCCTTAAAATACCCAGATTTGGGGGAACAATGCCGTAAGGAAACAGAGTGATATCAGTGAAGTAAAACCATTTTTCATGCGTAAAAAGCTGCAGGACACACAGTGTTGTTGTTTGCTGGTCTCAAACAGTGGTCCGCCATTTGGCAGGCGTTGTTGGCAAAGTTAGCTTGTATACTACGTCACTTAAGAAATGTTGTGATGTGTATGAAACGTACAATTGTAACATATTCATGCAGTATTTTTGGACTGTGGTATTTGTACTTCGTAGTAAGGGATCTGAGTACTGCGGTTTACTTATATGTTTTATGTAAAATTAATCTGTGAATTAAACAGAAACTGTACCTATAAGTGAAAAAAGTGCAATATTTCTCTCTGACATGAAGAGTACAAGTATAAATTGGTATAAAAAAGAAAAATAGAAAACAATTTGTAGAGTACTTGAGTGAATGTACTCAGTTACTGTGTCTGAGTCTCTGAGGACGGACTGATCCATCCAGCTGACCGGCAGCAGGCTGAGTGCTTTGTGTGTCCGATAGTCTTCTTATCACTAAGAGCTTTTAACTGCCACAGACTCATCAATGGAGCTGAGCTCAGTCAGAGTGTGGACCATTAGTCCAACCACATCCACGTCATTCAAACACACGTGATCAGGTATATGTACAAAATCATACAGGAGGGATCATTTTCCCCACAACACTGCAGATAGATAGATAGATAGATAGGGAGGTAGGGTAGCATAGTGTAGATAGATAGAGGGTAGAATAGGGTAGGGTTGATAGGTAAGCAGATAGCGTAGCATAGGTAGGGTAGGTAGGTAGGTAGATAGGTAGGTCGGTAAGTAGGGTAGGTAGGGCAGTGTGTAAATAGGTAGGGTAGAGCAGGTACGTAGGGTGATGTAGGTAGGGAGAATAGTGTAGCTAGCTAGATAGGGTAGGTAGGCAGGGAGAGTAGGGTAGGGTAGGTAGGTAGAACAGAGTAGGGCACATAGGTAGGTAGAGTAGTGTTGCTAGGTAGATGGGTGGGTGGGTGGGTAGGTAGGGAGGTAGGGTGGGTAGAATAGTTAGGTAGGTAGAGTAGTGTTGCTAGGTAGATAGGGCAGGGTTGATAGGTTGGTAGGTAAGTAGGGTAACATAGCATAGGTAGGTAGGGTAGTGTTGCTCAGTAGATAGAGTAGGTAGGTAGGTAGAACAGGGTAGGGTACATAGGTAGAAAAGGTAGATAGGTGGGGAGAATAGGGTAAGGGTGAAAGGTAGGTAGCTAGGTAGGTAGAACAGGGTAGGGTACATAGGTAGATAAGGTAGATAGGTGGGGAGAATAGGGTAAGGATGAAAGGTAGGTAGCTAGGTAGGTAGAACAGGGTAGGGTACATAGGTAGATAAGTAGAGTAGTGTTGCTAGGGAGATGGTAGGACGGGCAGATAAATAGGTAGGCAGATATAGTAGTTTAGAGTATTGGGACATTAGCTAGTAGATGTTAAGACTAAAGATTATTTTCATTATCAATAAATCTACTACTATTACTAATCCTGTCCTGTTTTTCAGACCAACAATCCAAAACCAAAATACATTTAATTTAATTTAATTTACTTGAGCAAGACTGTTAAAATTTCACTTGTTCCAGGTTATTAGATTAGATTAGATTCTTAGTGTTTATTGACTGTAAACTCAATATATTTGAACTTTGGACAAAATAAGACATTTAAATATAAATCTATGGACATTAATCAATTGATTAATGACTGCACCTTCTTAAATGTCTCAGGTTTGCTGCTTTTCTTCATATTATGAGAAGATGGTCAGAAATAAAACTTCATTAACGCTAATGAGCATTTTTCACTGTTTTCTGACATTTTATAGCTCAATGAATTAATCAATCAATCAAGAAAGCAATTACAATTATTTGCAGCCTAATGGACACGATATTGAGACTTATATCAGTTATTGATCTTTATACTGATCAGAATCAAACCATAATTCAGTCAGGAGCAGGAGCTGTGAGACTCTGAGGCCTGGGACAAACACCAGCACCTGGAAACACGTCATATTAATAACCTGCCGTTTAAATTCAGATTCTACCAAACATCATCATCTGAGTGTGAGATGATGCCTCGACGTTAGGACAGGATGCTCATGTGGCCTTCAGAATAACGCTGATGATGAAGAGGAGGAGGAGGAGGAGGAGGGAAAGAGGGAGGGGGAGAAGAGACAAGTGCGTCTGCAGCAACCTGATTAAAACACAGGCTGGATATTCCGGATTAGACGCGGTACAAACCCGGGATCTGCTCCTGTTTCTGTTCTTTAATGTGATGTTAGAGAAAAGCAGAAAGCTCTCACCTCCAAACAGCGCAGAATTAATCCGGAGGAGATCCGCCTGGACGCGTCCTGGAGCCCGACGGTGACGCTCCTCTGCTCTCCTGCAAGAGCCGAGGAGGAGGACGGAGGGGAGGAGGAAGGGTGGAGGGCGGCGGAGGAAGAGGAGGAGGAGGAGGAGGAGGAGGGGTGTTATGTGATGAGGTTGCAGCCTGCTTTTAAAGCCGGGCAGGGGGCTGCTGTGATCCTCGGAGGAGGAGGAGGAGGAGGAAGCTGTTTTCCTGTTGCTCCAGCGGGCTGCTCCACTGTGATGTGAGGAGGGGGAACAATAACCTCTGTGTTCTGACTCCACATCATGTCTGCCTGCAGCATCCTGCAGATATTCACACAGACAGAGCGGAATTATTATTAATATTATTATTAATATGGAGCCATCTCACCAACTGGAACCTCCTTTAATTCATTTTATTGTTTATTTATGAACACATGAATCAATACTGACAGTTTAACAGCATCAGTGTAAATGTGCATCTGTAGCTCAGCTGCAAATTATTGTGCTGCTGTACTGTATTCTAATATTTTTTATATCACCTTGTAATAATACAATAATAAAACCTGTAGTGTCTTGTTTCTATTTTTATTTAATTAATTCAAATAGTTCTTCGTGTATTTTCTTTTCTTTACACATTTAGTTCTGACACAGCTGCACCTGATTTATACAGCACAGTAACGACTGCAGTTTCAATAAAAATGTGGTAAAATACTCAGTGAATGTGTTACATTGATTTAAATAACAAATTAATAACATGCAATAAACACATGTAATACATACACGTGTGTATATATATATATATATGTATTATAATTATATAAACTTAATTAAGATGTTGCTTTAAAAATATCCAATTTTTATAAAGAAAAATATATTTTAAAAAACCCATCTGGTTCAAGCTTCTCAAATGTGAATATATATATATAAATATAATTTTAGGAAAAAACACAGAAAAGAACATAGGCCTACAAGAAAGTTTTTGGCTAAAATAAATAAATAAATGCTGTTACTACTAATAATAACAATATTAAATCAATATATGAAATACATCAGTTGTCCACAAGGTGGCGGTATAAAATGTGTTTGTTTTGGTAGTTCATTCCTGAATTTAAATTTAAATGAATCAGATGAAACAGAGGTCTGATGTAACAGGCTGAATTTAATACAATATTTTCTATATTTGAAACATTTCCAATTTCATTGGAAGATAATCACACAGAACACGCGCTGAACCAGACTTAAAAGAAAAAGTAATGTATAAAACTTTATTGAACAAATATTTAGTTTGAAGGTGTAGTATGTGTTTTCATGCTTTTTATTTCTTCTGGATTATTATTGTGAGGCAGCAACACTTCAGCTCCTGAGTCCAACACGAATTTACAATGAGGACAATAAAGGATATCATATAGCACTGTATCGCATCACATCCTATCATATCGTATCCTGTCGTATTGTGAAATCTTACAGCAAAACATTTCACCAGTTAGTTGTTGTGACTGTATTCATAATTGTATGAAATTACGATAGTAAAACATAACATCTGTGGGGACAGTGAATCACACATGTTCACAAACGATACCATGTGTAAATGAAAAAGTACAAACAAAAAGTGCAACTGAGAAATCAATTCAAAAAACAGGTATTGATCGTTATCGTTTTTACAGCCTTTAGATCTGTAAACAAACAGATCAGGTCTACACTGTGTCACCTCCTCAGTGAAAAACATCCAGTTTGGCTCTTCAAATGTAAACGTACATTTTAAAATGTGAATTTTAATAATAAAATAAATAGTATCGCTTTTTTTAAATCCGACACTGGCCCTTTAAGATACGTGACGTCACCAGAATGTCAAAGTTGAGCACAGAGAGAAAAACGAAGATGGTTCACTCTGTTTGAAGATAGTCTGATGAAAATGGTTTGTAACGACACCTTTTGTTACGGAAACTAAATGACAGACACGTGAAAACTATCGGTAATAAAATGTGTAAACGGAAGTTACTGTGAGCTGCGTAAGAGTTTATACAGCTAGCATGATCTCATGATAATATCAGTGGTGTGTGTTGCACGATTCATATTTTTCTCACATTTTAATTCATATTTCGTCATTTTCTTCTGTCAATTCTCGTCATTAATGTTAATGTTTGAAAGATATTAATTATTTTTTAATATTTCATTACTTTGGGGACTCCACAGCGCATGCGCTCTGTTAAAAGCCACGTAGTAGTGGTTCATCTGTAACAGTAGACGATCTTTGGTTTAGGAAAATGGCGTCAGATAATGGACTGGCCTCTCTGGTAGGAACCAAACTGTTCTCTAATGTTTATATTACCTGTGTGTCAGGGTTTAATGTGTGACCTGCTTCATTACAGAGCCTCTAACCAGTCTGATTAATTAACTAAATTAAAGTTTAAAGGTTTACAGAGGCAGGTCCGTGAGCTAACGATGCTAATGCTAACTAGCCGAGAGGAAAACACGTGTAGGAACAGTCCTGGAGATAAACACGCTGACACGTCGTGTGTTTCCACCGATGACATGAAACCATACATGAAACAGAGTCTCACACCGAGTCAGAACAACAGGGCTGGTTTGTGTTGTAGAAACACTGAGTGTAGAGTCTGCCTGGTTTGTAGCCTCTTTATAATCGGTTCCTATCAGCAGTCAGAGGACATATTTCACTGTGACACAGAGTTAGATATGTATACACTCATTGTGTCAGTGAGAATAACCACTGTGCTGAATTGAAGACATGTCAGGGGGGTTAGGTTAAATACAACATGAATAAAATAAAATGAAACAGGAAAAGAAAAAATAAAGGAATTTAAAGGGACATTTAAGTATTCCAGTATTTGATTTACTAGTGAACATGAGCTGCTCTCTGTCTCACACTTGTGATGTCACAGACTTTACAGATAAATAATAAACAGGCGACCGATTTTATTTGTTTTCTCTTTATACAGAAGTTATTTTTATTCTGTTGTCGAGTTCTCAGCACTCAAACAGACACAGTTTCCATATACTCACATGTACATGCAGAAAATATTCAGATTTTAAAAAAGACAATATTCCAACTGAGCTGTTCACATGTCTGATGAAAAGATATAATCCACTAAAACTCGTGTTTACATGCAGCAACTAGCATCCATGTTGTCACAGACATGGACGTGAACTGTGAGAGAAACTGTTCTGTAAGGTGAACCATACAGAACAGTTTAAATGTCCTTTTAATTGGTAAGATACAATAGTATTTATGTCATTTACAACATCTTTGTAATAAAAATAACAATAATAATAATGTTTATATAAAACAGAGTGACAAACTGCTGAAATATCATCAATTTAAACAGACAAGATGTAAAAATGTGTTTTAAAAGAAAAAAATATTTTTATTATAAATTACTTTATTATTATATTATAAAAAAAACTCTAAAAGTAAAAATAGTAAAAACAGCAAAAAAGTTAATAAAAACATGGAAAACAAACTAAAAAAAAATCAGTAAAATCAGAAAATAAGGAAACAAAGGTAACATATAAAGATATATTAAAATAAGTATTAAAAAAAACCATAAAAAAAACAGGAAAAGGGAAAAAAGTAAACATAAAAACAATAAAAAAATTAAAGAAAAACCTTCAAAAAATGGTAACAATATGAAAACAGGAAATACAGTAAAAAAAAAAAGAGCAAAAACATAAAACGTCAGAAATGATGGAGCACAGTTTCTGGATGTGCTGAGAAAATGAACAGTTTATATCATCATAGATTTCTTCAGACGATGCTCTGCAGGGTAAAACTTGTGCATGGTTATTTTTTTTATTAATAAGTCAATAAAAAGATTCAGAGTGTTAATAAACAAACACAGAGCCAATAAAAAGGAAAAAACAGCTCCACCCGTCAACATGGGAATCAAGAGAGAGGACGATAGTATGAATTTAAAATGATGACAAAGTGATGAACTTGTGTGACATACGCAGGAGCACAGCGTGTTTGATTACAATTTGTCAGCTTCCATATTTGGCACAGAGGTTAAAAATGTTTGTCAGGTGGTGAAGAAGCATGCAGTCAATCCTTTGATGAAACAATGCGTTTGGTTGTCCGTATGTTGGAGGTGAAGAGTCCGTCCATGTCCACAGGACAAGCCGTCAGGCCAGAAGTGAACACAGAGAAACATCGTCTGTGAGGGCTCCACTGAAGTTAACATCCAGAGGACTTACTCCAGATATAACCACAGACACAGACGGAGCAGCCTGCCTCCAAACACTGTTCATAGACTTTAAATATTAAACCCCAGAAATGTAGTTTCAGACATGACCAGAACATGTGACATAAAGTGACCGAGGACTGTTTGCACCTGTTTGCACCTGTTCAACGTAGGGTCAATATAAACCTGTTTGTAACTGTAAAGGAAGCCTCTCTCATCTTGTGTGTGTGTGTGTGTGTGTGTGTGTGTGTGTGTGTTTTGGTCCTCAGGGGGTGGAGGGAGCCTCGGCAGTGGCTCACGCTCTGTCTCTGCCAGCAGATGCTTATGGAAATGATGTAAGTGGAGTTTATTATGTGTTCAGCCTGTGATGAGTCAGTCTGAAAGCGTCACTGCAGTCAAAGTACTGATACTGTAAAAATACTCTGGTACAAGTTACAGTCCTGAAAATGTTCTTCAGTTAAAACCACAGACAGGTGACGTCAACTGATCACTCAGGTCACTGATCATCTCACTGGCTACAGCGTTCTACTGGGAAACCTTTGGTCCTGGGGTTCATGTGGACGCCACCCGACAGGCTCCACCCACCCAACCACTCTGAACATTTCCAGTCACAAGCTGCGAGCGTTTAGACACACAGAGCCGGATTGGCGAGTTGATCCGAGGTGCCCAATTTTCCGTCTCGTAGGGTAGACATGTTGGTGGAACCCTTTTAGTTTAAAAAGCCTGAGGTGGCCTTCTGCAACGGGAGGAGCTGTTGATGACTTGTGGGAGGAGCTGTTGATGACTTGTGGGAGGAGCTGTTGATGACGCCGCACGTGCGAGCCACTGGCGGTGGATAAACAGGAAACAGCTGATAGCAGGAATTAGCAAGCAGCTAGTAGCAAGAGGGAAACACAAACCTGACAGACACTGTAAAGATGAGCAACTGGGGAGACAAGGAATTGCGCGCCCTCCTTGTCCTCGCAAACGAAGAGGCCATTAACCGTCAGATGACGGGGACGGTGAAGGACGGGCCGACTTACGAGAGAATCACCGAAGGACTGACCAGCCGCGGCTTCCCTCCCACGTCACTGTTTACGTCACACGCTGAGCTACACGTTTTGTTACTTGCTCACGCCCCCCATTGCCCCGAAAAAGGCACATTCTGTATAAACAAAAGAAGGTAGGCGGCATTTTGCTGCACTCCCTGATTTTGTTTTTATACTGCCAATGCTGAAAAAACACTGATTGGG